CGGCCTCCCTGGCGGCTGGCCCACGCCGGTTGCTCCTGGATGGCGGTGCCCGGGGTCTGGAAGGTTCGGGACACGTGGGGATCGGGACTGGCAGCTACGGAGACCGAACGGGCCAACCTGCTTTCCTTTCTGCTCCTCGCACCTGGGGAAGAGCCGTCTAAGGGCCTTTCCCAGGACGTCCCCTCGGCACACCGGAGGCCAAGACGGGCAGTCTTGGGAGAAGCCACCACCACAGGCTCGCTGTACCATCCATGGGCTTTCTGGCCCTAATCCAGCCAGACAGCACCTTCTGCCTCCGGTTCCCCAGCTCTCAACGTCCCTGCTGGGGGAAGGAACCAGCTCTCAACGTCCCTGCTGGGGGAAGTCCTCTTCAGGACTTCGGGTTCAGTGGTTCTCAACCTTCTGGCCCTTTAAATACAGTTCCTCATGTTGGGACCCAACCATAAAATTATTTTCGTTGCTACTTCATAACTGTAATGTTGCTACTGTTATGAATCGTCATGTAAACATCTGATATGCAGGATGGTCTTAGGCGACCCCCGTGAAAGGGTCGTTCGACCGTCAAAGGGGTCGCGATCCACCGGTTGAGAACCGCTGGGTTAGATGGAGGTGGGCAGAGGCCGCTGGGTTAGGCAATGTTTTCCATAACAAATAAAATGGGAGGGCCCCCTGGTGGAGGGCGCAGTTCCGAGCCCTGGGCTGTGAGATGGATGAGTCCCTGAGTCAACACATGGATGAATAATCAAAGGGAAGAAGTCTTAGCCTTTTATGCGGAGCCACAACCAAGAGCAGAGGATTCCCAGCAGGAGGCCTCAGCGAGGTCCCCCAGGATGCAAAGATGACCCGGGGAATGGGAATCCGAGGAAAACCTAGTGACCGTGACCGCTGAGTCATTGTTGACAGTGAGGGGCACCGTTTCACCGCACAGCCTGACCACGAGTCGGCTCACGAGGATGCAACACCCTTTGACATAGTCCTCTTCCTTCCAGATCTCTACCCTACAGACACACTTACAATCGAGCGCAAAGAGTAAGTTCAAGGATGTGCCCGGAGCGTCGCTGTGATGGGAAGGGATCACGGGGACCCTGAAAGGACCTTCAGGCCCGGTAAAACCATGACAGCCCACCCACCCCTCCCAGCGCCATAAAACATCAATTAAAAAAAAATATTTTTTTAAATGTATTTTTTATTGATTTCAGAGAGGAAGGGAGAGGGAGAGAGAGATAGAAACATCAATGATGAGAATCATCGATTGGCCGCCTCCTGCACGCCCCCACACTGGGGATTGAACCGGCAAGACAGGTACGTGCCCTTGACTGGAATTGAACCCAGGACCCCTCAGTCCGCAGGCCAACGCTCTATCCACTGAGCCAAACCGGCTAGGGCGAAAAGTATATGTTTTTTTAAAAAAGAGGTACTAATGAGGACAGTGGAGCTGGTGTGAAATCTTATACCAATACAAAACGACCAGAGCCACGTGCCTGTTGATCTATGATAACACTGTCATCGCACACTGTCCATGGGGAAGGGATGGGTTATCTTCTAAAAGCAGCCCTGGGAGGTTCCTATGTGCAGAAGACGATGTATATATAGCCAAAAGCTATAAGAGAGATGGCCACCCTCTCAGGCAGGAGACGCTGAGCGGACTCTTCAGGCCGTCCAGTTGGTAAAATTAATACAGCTGGTAACCTCTGCGGGGCAAGGGGCTCCCTCAGCCCTGCACACAGCTTTATTTCCTTCTGTAAAAGTTGTTTATAGGCATGTGTATGGGTTGGGGACACATAGCTATTTGCTAAAATTATAAAATAAAGCATGAGAACGATTAACCGAACATTCAAGATTGTGGTCACCTCTGGGGTGAGAGGGACTTGGGAACCAGGAGGAGTACCTGGAGGGCTTTCAAGATCACAGGACTATGTTTCATTTTTTTAAGCTCAGGAGGTATATAAAGATACTAGAGGCCTGGTGCACAGATTTGTGCACCAGTGGGGTCCCTCGGCCTGGCCTGCACCCCCTTGCAATCCGGGACCCCTCAGGAGATGTCAGAGAGCCTCAGGCCGAGGGCCTCTAGTGTGCATATAAGATCTTTGGTTCATCTCTCCCCGCCCTCCCCCCTCCCCTCTTCCCTCTGAGATTCATCAGTCTGTTCCATGTTTCCATGCCTGTGGTTTCTGCTCCTGTGTTGAGCATCTGCCCCTTGGTGGTCAGTGCACATTATAGCTACCAGCCGGTCGCCAGTCTGCTTAGGCTTTTATATATACACTAGAGGCTCAGTGCACAAATTCATGCACAGGTGGAGTTGGGGCAGATCGGGGCGGAGCATGTCAGGAGGAGGAGACGGTGGGAGGTTGCCCGGCAGGCCACGCCCCCAAATGTGGTGGTGAGGGCGATTGGGGGCCAGCGGTCTGGGGGAGGAGCCATGGCTGGCTGGCTGGCCAGTGCTGCCCCTGATCAAGGTGGTGGGGGCCCATCGGGGGC